TAGGGAAATATGAATGTAAATATTATTTTAAATGAAAATTTAAATTATCTTTATCACTGATTTTGCATTATTATAAAAAAAAATGTTAAGATTATTTTTAATCGTTAATAGTTCAAGATTTCCGACCCATCGGTTATGTCCCTTATTTTTCTTTATATAAAGGGGGGGGGGATTTTTTTTTTTTTATTAAATTTATTGCTAAAGTATTCATTTAACCAAATAATAATTAATTGGAAATTATTATACAGTATGAGTTTAAACGATATATTGATCGACCAATAAATATGACGTCATTAACAATTAGTCCTGTTGTATCGATTGAGAATATGCATTTTAAAAACAAACTATGAAGATAAACTAACTAGTTGGGAACTATTTATTTTTTGGAACCACTTTAATATAATGAAGTATAATAAATATTAAAAAAATTTTTGTTCATAACGTAGATAATAAAACACATATAAAAGTGATTTTATAATCATGGATTTACCATTTCTTTGACTCGCTTAATTAAACTATCGATTGCAATTATCAATCTCATTGAACTGATGATAAATTGTCATATCTTACGAAGACAACAAAAATGCATAAACGGTCAAGGTACAAGGTTATATTTGCGGCACTTAATATTATGAACAAGATTTCTTGTGAAATTATTCAAGTGACGTGACTTTGCACATTGTTAGAATTATTAATATGAGAATTAAATCGAATTCAAGATTTTTACCTGCTCGTGTAACAAAGTTGACATTTGTCCTGGAAAAACGCGTAAGCGCGCCAAATAACCGACAACTCGCCATTCTTCTGCGAACACTATTTTGCCTACGAGAATAAAACTTTATGTAACAACGTCCAATAAGCCCGGTCTACCCGATATATAATAGAATGTCTTACGAGCATGTGCCGAGTTGCTAACCGTACTTCGAAAAATCAAGATTTACTATTTGAAGATAAATGCTCCCACCTACAGGAAGAATGCCGTGACGTCATAATAATGTAGCGCTCTTATTGGCTTTGACGCCGAAGTTGATTGTCAACGCTACACGAAATTTAAAAATATAAGATAGTCGTCCAAGAGTTAGCGATAGTAGAACTCCTTTGATTAACCGAGCACTAAATAAGATTATTATTAAACAATGTGTAAAATTAATCAATTGTCCTAATTATCCAATATAAATTTATAATTATAATATAAGCGTGTATATTAAAAAGTATAAATTATTGACTCGTGGCTATTTAATATTTGAGAAAACTCTTAGATAACATTATATTTTATAGCATTTAAATTTATACATAATGTATAAATAGTCTATAAATAAATAAATAAATATATATATATATATATATATATATATATATATATATATATATATATATATTAATTTATAATAAATGAAATATGAAGGATAATTATTATTGAAAGTAATTCCTATATTTAATATATTATATTATATACATTTCATATATATTTGTTATGTAACGGTATGATTGGATAAACAATGGTGCTTTGAATAGGTAAAATAGCTATTTGTGCTAATTAACATTTTATCCTTCATATTTATTTATATTTATTTGAAAATGCTAATTTACGGATATTTATTTGCACGAATGAACGATTCTTATTCTTTAATTCGTCCATGCATCTATCGAATGGGAGGGAAGAGGGAGCGCGACAATGATTATAAACAAACTTGAATTTCTTTACATTTAGCATTATAAATGATTTTAAATTAATCTAGCTAATAATGAAATTTCCAAAAAATGTCTAATAATTCTAATCCTAAAATAAAACTAATAAAGTAAATCCTACGAGTCATGACAAATGCAAATGACGAAGGACATTATGAGTCAAGAGCACGTTATGTGTTCTATCTACCTGACATATGCAGTATCTTTAGTCCTTTAAATACATATTTTCGTTTCAAATGTACACAGATGCTCTATTGTCAAGAGGCCGTCGGCCTTTTCTTCATTTTCTTATTTATATTGGACAACAGAATGATACAATATAAATGTGCTGTTAATATTGAAATGTTTTAAAGTGATTTTCATAAATGTCATTGGACACTTTATGAAAAATTTAGATGTAATTTCACATAATGTGTTAAGATTGATTAATTATTATGGTTATACGTGATTGTGTAAATTAATTTTAATTATAGGATAAGAAATATTTTACAATTTATGCTCAAGAAGGATAAATTTATAAAATTGATAGATATATCGAATGAATTTCTCTACCGATCAAAGCCACTGAAAACTTTGCATCAATTAGTTATGAAAATCACTGAAAATATTTCATCTTAATCATTTTTTTAACAATGGCATTGTTAATGGCAATTAAACAATAGAATGTAGTAATAAGAATAGTCTAGATCGAGGGAGCGTTTTGCTCAATCTGTCTTTCAAATATTTTTTCCAAATATAGAATCGTTTAAAATGTTTAGTCTTGCAAGATATTCTTTAAGAAAAGTTTTACTCAAAGTTCTATTTATGTCGATTGCAGTTTTATTTTTTTGTGAATATTTGATATACTACATTGTTCTAATACAGGTACATTATTTAAAATTTTCTAGTAACTACTGTTTAATTTAAAATAACGACAATTGATTTTACATTTTTATTTATTGCAGTGCCAATGGCCAACGTTAAAATTGAATAAAGGCGATTTTAATATCCCTTCGGTTACACCGGATGAGAAACCAGTATACGCTATATTTTTAGCGGATACTCATCTTCTTGGTCCAAGAAATGGACATTGGTTTGATAAACTAAGAAGGTTAGAATCGAGCGAATAAGAGAATTGTTAATATTTATTTCTATTTCAATTTCGACTCTTTTTTTCATTTCTTTTCTTTCCTTCATTTTTTTTTTCTTTATTATTTTTTTTATTAATTATTTATATTTTTAAATTAGAGAGTGGCAAATGTATCGGGCATTTCAAACGGCAATAACATTACACAAACCAGATTTAGTGTTTATATTAGGTCTGTACGATACTTGGACATAAGTGCTCGCGATAATTATCTAAATTTGATGTAAAAATGATTTCAGGCGATATTTTTGACGAAGGTCAATTGTCTAGCTCGAAAGAGTTTGAGAAATACATATCAAGATTTAAATCAATATTTTACGTACCATCAAATACTCATCTTTACGTAGTTTCTGGAAATCATGACATGGGATTCCATTATGGTATGTAATTAACATGTTTGTTAATTGTTATTGTAAATAGTATATTATCCAAATACTAAGTATAAATTTTCATGTAGTTATTACACCGTATTTGAACCAGAGATTTGTACAGGGTATGAATGCACCGAGCGTGAAGAGAGTCAGTATTAGATCAAATCATTTTATTTTAATTAATAGTATGGCTTTAGAAGGGGATGGATGCTTTTTGTGTAAATCAACAGAAATTGCTATAAACAAAATTAGTAGTAAGTGACAAAATATTATAATTTTTTTCTTAGACAACGACTATTATGGAAACTCGTATTTTCTATAGAACATTTAAAATGTGCCAAAGGCATTCGTAACGATTGCAATAACAGTAGTCTAATAAAGAAATATAGTAGACCAATTCTTTTACAAGTTAGTATTTTTTAATTTTAATAAATAAACATAAATTACAAATTTATTAATAATTATTAATTCTATCTTAGCATTATCCTTTATATAGAGAATCTGATCAAATTTGTAATGAAATAGATGAAGCTCCGATTGAAAAAAAAGATATTAAATTTCGAGAAGGATGGGAATGTTTATCAAGAGAAGCGACGGAGCAGGTAAATAATCTCCTCGTGTAATCAAAAGCAATATTTTCACATCTATTATGTTTAATTGTAGCTGTTAGATAATTTAAACCCAAGACTAGTGATTGGAGGACACACACACCACGGTTGTAGGAAAATTCACCAGCATGATATTTTGGAAATGACACTTTCTTCATTTAGCTGGAGAAATAAAAATAATCCATCGTTTATATTGGTTAGTAATACACATAAATTTGTCTTCCCTTTATCTTCTTCCTACTTAATAAATGTTATATTTCTAATTATATTTGTAATTAAATTTGTAATATTAAATATAATATTGTTTGTTGTTTTAGGGTGTATTCACCCCTAATAATTATGCCGTATCAAAGTGCTATTTACCTATTGAGTCAACTGTTATAAGAATTTATATTTTTAGTGTAATTAGCATTCTTCTATACCTATTATTAAACCGTAGATATAAAATGATTTGTAACAAATTACAATTTTTATTCGTAATATATTTTTAAGCAAAAAATTGATGTAAATAAATGAAGACAAAAATTGTGTACATTTTATTTAAATTATTACCTATGAATGTTGGATTGGTCGCTTATACAGATAAAACTTTAGGTAATTAGTAACTTATAGTATAATTAAGAATTTATAGAATTTATTTATTATCAATTATTATTACTATTTATTTTCGAAAATGGTGGAGAGACAAATGTGCTCATTGTAATAGCTATGTTATTACTTTTATTTTTTACTAATATACTTTGTACTTTTGTAAGATACCTCTGTGGATGGCACATTTCGTTTGTATCTGATGTGAAAATGAAGTCTCAACATCATGAATGATAATATACATTTAATTCTAATGATTAATGAAAAAAAATTGCTTCAAACAAAAACTATGATGAATATCTTTAAGAAACATCATACAATTACATAATGATGGAACAAATACTATTTATAAAGAAATAATATTTACAAAAGCTCGTTTTCGGAGGACTGAAAGAGAAGGTATTTTTTTTATTTATTTTTTAAATTATCAATTTAATTCATGAATTCATACTTCGATATAAAATTTTCTCTATATACTACTTACTATAAGTTGTACGTTTAAAAAAAATTATTTTTTTTTTACTTTAAATTCATTACATTTTTATATTTTTAACATTTCAATATTGCGATATTCATTAGTATGATCGTTAAATGAATGAATATGTAAATTTGTCTTATTAAAGATATTTATCATACATATTCAATATTTGTAATTTGAATATTATATCAAAAATATAATATTAATTATATTTCAAATAAATTTTTAAAAACTTTCAACTAAAGACCATTCAATTTTATTATAATCATAATTTTAAACGCGAATCTTCTATAAAAAGCTCGGCAAACAAGACTCATGAACATAATAATCTTAAAAGAAAATAATATTTATGAGATAAGAAAATATAAAAGAATCTGTGCAAATGTAGAATGAAAATTATTATAACTACAGAAGTTAATCAAGAAAAGCCTTCATTAAAATGACCTTAAAGTGTTTTAGAGATTAGAATATAGCTTACGTATTAAGAAGAATTTCTTTTTTCAAGACAGCTTTAATATTGTTTATTATGGTTACGAAAGAAAAATATTAAACTCAAAGTGTCAATAGTTTTTTAGAACTTAAATAAAGACGAAAAATTGAATTAACTTTATATTACGGTAATTGAGATGAGCAATCACATTAAAATCAATAAGTATAAAATACATAACAAAGAACTTTTCGTTATATTAATAATAAACTAATTCTTAATTTAATTTATAATGACAAATTGTAATAAATAATGTAAAAGTAAGGAATATATGTATAAACAAAAGGTAAACAAACACTAAGTAAATGTGTAATAATAAAGATTTTATGTAACTAAATATTTATCGTTAGGTTTTGATAACCAATTAAAATTAAATAAGAATATTGATTGACGTATGTATTAATAGAAATTAAACAATCTGATGAATCATTTATTTATTTTTAAAATTAGAAAATTATTTTAATATCAAATCGATTTCTTATTGTCGTGCCAATCCTAAAATAAAATAACAGCGGACAAGATTTTTATCGACTGTATAATAATAATAATAATAATAATAATAATAATTATTATTATTATTATTATTATTGATATGATATTATGAATTATTAAAAAATCTAGAATTCTAAAACATTTGTTTTATTTGATCTGCAAATATCTTAAATATGTGCATGTCTTATAATGCAAATACTTGAAAATCCTATATACGTGATTGAAAAAGTTTAAGTAATTATGTACAAGAATTGAAGACTATTTGATTTAAAATTTATGTAAAATTAATTAAATTATAATAATTAAATTCTCTATTTTAGATAATAAAATATTTTGCATTATAAACCCTGGGACATATTTATTGATTAAAGCATGTAAAGAATATTTATAAACTATTAATTTATTCATTGATTAAAATTTTTAAATCATAAAATATTGTTAGTAACTTTATTAGTCGTAAGCTTTTTTTTTTTTCTTTTTAAATTTCATTAACAATTTTGAGATTTATACAATATATATTCATTTTTCATAAACTTTACAAGTATTGCCAATATAAAAATGAAATTGAAATGATATTTTAAAGTAATAAGAACAACAATTATTGTAACGTTGATTAGAAATAATGTATTATAATTTTATTTATAAATATTTATACTGATAATTGTAAGAGATGATACAACTGGAAATCTACAAAATATCCTATAAAACGATGATTTATATGTACACGCGCATTTTGCAACCATGATATTAAAATGAATTATTATATAGTCTAATCGACTCGGATTTGTACACACGTTATTCAGAAAATTTACATTTTTAACAATCGGAAGCAATTATTATCTTAGTAAGTAATTAAATTAACATCGGTAGTCTTAACAATCTTGAAAAATAATTCTGTAACTTAAAATTATATGCAATTATTTAATAAAATAAATCAGTTAATTTACAAGAGCTAATAGCAATTAATTCCATTTGCGTGTGTGGTAAATTTCTGCCCTGAAAACACAATTTATTATTGCAATTTTTTTACAAGCAAACAAAAAAATTGTAATAAATTAAACTAGAATATTTTCACAGATATCTTTTTGGCAGACTGAATATGACTGGCTATTAGCGTCAATTAATTTGACTAGTCTATTTTAACGGCAGCATAAATCTTTCTTATGAATACATATGCTGCGAAGAAACCAATGGTACCGGTTAACAGCCAGAACGTGAGTACCATTAAGGCAGTGTAACCAAAATACATAAGTGTTGGAACAAGTTCTGTTATTTCTAATTTTGTCATAAAGTAAAAAATTGAATAATCTAGAACATAAACCGCTGTACCTCCGCTAACAATAAAACTTCTCCACCACCATCTATAATCCTGAAAATAACGAAAACGAAAATGATAATGTGGCTGTGTCGATAAAAATAATTAATTAACAAATAGAAATATTTAATGAACTTACTTCTCCGCATAGTTGAAAATATACCATAACAATTGAAATCTGGGAACACGATATTACTAGAATACAAAAAACTAGGAACAAAAAGCCAAAGAGATAATAAAACTGATTTTCCCATAATGCTGTTAGAATAAAAAACAACTCTATAAAGACAGCACCAAATGGTAAAACTCCGGCCATGAGGGTACTTTAAAAAGGTAAAAGCTTATTAATTACAAAGTATTTATGTATGTTCACTATTTTGTTTCTTCTACATATTTAAGAATTAGATTACCTTAAAATGGGATTCATATACCAAACTTGATCAGGAACTTGACGAGGAATTTGATTCGTTCGAACTGGATGAGTAAATGGCTGCTTCCGAAAGCCAAAGAAATAACCAAGGTATACAAGAGGTAATGAGATACCAAACCAAAGACAGAGCAAAGATAACATAGTAGTAAAGGGAACTGCCCCTGAACTATGTTTGCCCCAAATGAAAAAGTTTAAGAAAAAACATGTGCCAAATACAATTCCAGGATATAAGGTTGCAGTCTGCAAAATTTATTAATAAATATAATTGTAATTATAATTATAATTATAATTGTAGCTGTAATATTGCATTCATTATTTATTGGGCGTATGTATTTAATAGCGTCAAGTTATTGGCAAGATTTTGTTAAAATCATTATAATCTGTATTTATTAAGTGAAAACTTACCAACATTGCCGCTCTTTTCCATTCTTTGCCCCTCATTGTTTTATATAACCTAGCAGAAAAGTAGCCCGCCACAAGTCCTGAGAAAACATATAAAAATATTGCGCACGTTCCAAGAGCACCTCTGCTCGCTGGTGAAAGCATACCCAGCATAGCAAAAACTACATGATATATTAAGTATGATATTAATAAAATATTGATTAATCGATATGTAAATAAAAGAGACAAAATACTTGGAAATCTTACAAATTGTTATTAAAGCCATAAAAAATATTTGTATTCCACTACCAATGACCGCAGCAAATAGTCGAGAATTCGTTGGTGGCCTGAAAACATCCCCATGAACGAGCTTCCAGCCAGTCTCTTCGATCGTTTCATCCAGGCCAGCGATACTGTCATTTTCACCTGCGTTATATCTAGCGATATCTCTACGCAAGGTTCTAATAATAATCATTGTCAAAATTCCTGCGTAAATATAGTAAAACAATCACTATAGGAATTTTAAATACATGGTTCGATCTATTTCGCATGATGATAAAAAGTAGTATCGGACAAATATAATATAACTAGTATTTAACGATATTGTGAAAATGTTTATCAAGCTAAATATTTTCATTGAACTAGCAATTACATTCAAGTATTTCTTCTTAAAAAAAGTAAAAGAAACGATCGCTTAATATCTTTTCTCAAGAATTATTTCAATAATTATTTTTTAATCTAATATTATTAAACTCGTAACGAACAGAAATATATCTCCTCACCTGATAAGAAACAAACGACAATTAAAGAATTGATTATAGAGAACCAATGAATTTCGACATCGCTCATTCCAAGATAAATATCCCATCTACTTGCCCAACTCACTTGAGATTCTTTCCATTCAACCGAGTATAAAAATAATATTTGTGTGCCCTTTGGATTAACGAATTGTAAATTTGGCTCTTGAGTAGGTATTTTGCATGTACTGCCTTCAAATTGTAATTGCGTAAAGTCTATCGAAAGGGCTTCAACTTCAAAACCCACGACTCTAAACTCATTTCTAAGAAAACGTAATGAAATAATCGATGAAGTTATTAATTCGAACCAGAAATAATTTTAATTACATATTACTTACTCTCCATGTTTATGATAACTTAATTTTAATTTCAAATAGTTATTAATATATACTTGATTACCACTAACACCACCTAATCGATATCCATGATATACAATTGTATTTTTTTCATGCTTCTCCTTTGTAGCTGCTGGTAAATTATCTATCAACCTAACAAACAGTACAAATTACTTTTATTGGAACTTTAGTCAGAAACAGATAAATGCTTTAATGTCTTACAAATGAACGGTATATTCGTATATAATACGCTCCATAACAAGAACCGAATCATCCTCTTTCCATGTCATTGGATTTGATGGAGTATGGCAAAGAAGGCGACATGACATATTCTGTCCCATAGCAACCTCGTACGGGCTATTGACAATTCTGTGAATAAACGGATATAACATACCAAAATACAAATCGCTAAATAATATAAGCTTAGTTAATATAGCTGAATATTTAATTTGCAATATACCTGTCGCCTCTCAAAATTTCTCCCAAATTTTCGGACTTATAAAATAACGTTCCATTTTTTGGCAAACAAAAGGGCAACGAATAATACTCGTACGGTAATTGGGTATGTGTACTAGTCATTTTAACAGCCTTTACATCAATTTTCTGTCCTTTCTTGAATTCTACAGGTGCAACACCTGGGACATAAAATCCTTGAACTTCAATTAACAATAATATTAGGGCCAAAATAGCCTGTCCCCATTTTAACCTATACTGTTAAACAATGATAAAAAAATAAGTAATAAAAAAAAAAATAGAAGCGAATGTAAATAAATTTAGAAAAATCAAATAAAACTGAATGTCGCGATTTTTCGATAGACGGAGCAGATAAATTGTTAGGCAGGATTCAAGGATGGTATCCAGCAATGTATTATAATTATTTTAAAAATTGAAAAAAAAACCAACAACGTTACTTTTCCCGACTATCGCAAAATTTTCTGAACATAAATAAGCTTACCATGATAGAATATTTGTCTTTGGAAATCGCGGCACACCGCTGATTTCTCACTTTAAAATATTAAATCTCTTCTTCGGCAATTCGTTTTTCGCCTGCTTTTTGATATTCCACGTCAAAAATTCATTATACAGTACACAAAATTCTCCTTGACTCACGCAAATGTATACATTGCTGACAACGATTCACGTATTCACTTATCGCTTATTTGTATATCCTTTGTTGCTTAAAAATGCGTCTGGGCATGTGTAGGTAGGTGCGCGCGCGCCCGCATTAATACTCGTATGCTGTGGGATACTTTGGCGCACACCTGCACGTACAATAGTACGCACGTACGCACCCGCGGCCATATATATATATATATATATATATATATATATATGCAATAGATAATATATAATAGAATATATATCCATATATTGCTAAAATTAGTTAATTATTTTTTATATGTTATGAAATGGTAAAAAATATAATTTCAATAATATGACATTAAGTTATAAGCAGCACGAGAAATGCAATATAATTTCTAGTCACGTCAGAGAAATGTCTTTAAACAAAATAAGTTCTATACCCGTTTATTACAAAAATTACATTTTTAAGTTATAAAACTATAATATTAGTGCTTTATTACCAGATTTATTAAACATAAATGTAAAAGTTAAACATTTGTAAAAGAAGTAATATAAAATATCGTTTAAGTTTCGCGCTGTTATACGATAATAGTAAAAGGAAGTCAAATTATTGTATTTTACTGAATTTATTAAGAGTAAAAATTATATTAAAATTCATAGATACAGTTTTTATGTATTAATTAAATCGCAATGACAATTATTATTTAATTTTAAGTAAATAGCCATAAACATGAAATAAAAAGTTGGGAAGGGAGGGGAGAAATGAGTTGCTCGATTGACGAGGCTTTTCCGAGCGAAAAAATATACCCCGAAAGGAAAATATCCTCCCACGTGGGGATCGGTTTAATTACAAGTTACGTTGTTTAAATATGTGTTTGTTGCATTAATTTTTATTCGAAAACAATGGTTCAAGTAAGTAGAGTTCGTGTAAATGTTATCCCGGCGAATTTTACGAAAAAACGTCGAAACGACGAATTTTTTCTGTCAGCCGTATCGGGGCAATTTTTCGATTGTTTTTTTTTCCGCTGTCATCCATTAGTAAATAGGAAAGATGGCAGCAGATTATTGCGCTTTTTTCTCGTTCGCTCGCGGAGCCGACATTTTTCTGAAAAATTCTAATCGTCGAAACTTTTTATTATACTTTATTTATCAAAAATTTTCAATCGCCACGAGGTTTCTCGACTCATTTTTAGCGCGCTTGCGATTTTTCAAGATGCGGGGCGAGTTTTCGTCGAAAAAAGCAATATGTTATTAGAATAATGCACGAGATGAAATAAGGGAGCCTTTGTAGATGCGTCGGAATTTTTTTTTTTTCGACATTTAAAAAAAAAAAAATTCATTACTTTATCACATGAATTTTATTTCATAAGGCTTTTATCATGTTGAACTTCATTATCGTTTGTTTACAGTTTAAAAAACGAATAGTGTAAATAAATTTATGGTGTAGAAAAAAAAAAGCCCCAATGCTTCGATTATTGTATAAATTTTTAATTTTCAAAAAGCATTTATATAAATGATGTTTATTTTATTTTTTTTTTTTTTTATAATGATAGTACGATCTTTATAATACAACGTAAACAATAAATTAATTAGATTCTTTAAAAAAAAATCCAAATTAAATAAATAAGTTGCCTATGGGACATAAGTGAATATTTTATAAGTAATATATAGTATTTATAATAAATTTTATGTTTGTTTAGGCAATAGATGAAATGGAGCAGCGGGATCTTCCACAGGCTTTTCGTCTGCTGGGAGAAATGAATGCTAATGTAGTGCAAGTAAATCAGTTGGTGGATAATATGCTTGTGAGAGTAAAAAATGGAGAAATTTCAACAGATAAGGGTCTTGGTTTTCTAGAAATGAAATATCATATGCTGTTATCCTATCTTATAAATTTAACATACATTGTCCTACGAAAGTGCTCTGGAGAACGAATTGAAGGGGATCCGTCGATCGATCGCTTAATTGAAATCAGAACAGTATTAGAAAAAATTAGGCCCATTGATCACAAACTTAAATATCAAATAGACAAACTTGTAAAAACTGCTGTAACTGGAACAACAAATAGTGATGATCCTATAAATTTCAAGCCCAATCCTGATGCCTTGGTTGGGAAGATAGATGGATCCGACGAAGAATCGGAAAGCGAACAGGACGTGAACGAAGAAGGTGCCAAATCACGGAAGCCTGGAATTTATGTACCACCAAAACTTGCTGCAGTTCATTATGGTAAATATATCGATACAAATTAAATATTTTACAACTTAAAAGTTTTCTGAACTGCTGCATAAAATATTTATGATTACGTATGGTAAATCACCATACAATACAAACGTAATTTTGTTGTAATTATTCCCAGATTATTTTTAACAAAATAATAAATTAATTATATGATTTAATGGTATTAAAATATTTATTTCAGATGGCGACGATACAATTGTTGATAAAATGCACAAAGCTGGAGAGAGAGCACGTAGGCGTGCTGTATCTGGGGCTGTACTTCGAGAACTTCGAGAAGAATACTTAGACGCTCCGATAGAAGATTCAAATGATCTAGGTGAAAAACAATCAACTTTCGGTCGTGAAAATAAAAGGAAAATTGAATACGAAGAAAATTATATGACTCGATTACCCGTCACTAAAGAAGAAAAACATCGTCAACGTCAAATGACTACGCTTGGAACACTTGGAACAGAAATTACTAACTTTGGTGGCTCTTCATCGGCTAAGAAACGAAAAGCTCCTAAAGGAAAATCTAAAAAAAGTATGTTCCATTGATAAATACTTATTGATTTTATTTATTTATAATTAATTTGTTTATTGAGTCAATAAATTGTTATTTATTTATATAAGGTTTCAAGAAGAAACGACGTCACTAAAAAGTGATATGTCAACAACACAATCGTCCGAAAAACTGAGAATATCGGTACTGACTATAAAGGTAAATTTCTGAAAACTTCGTCACTTCCTCTTGGTGAACGAAATGACAGTAATACTCTCGTTACTAAGTTATATTAATGAATTTGATAAAAAGCCTGCGAATAAGAAAATACTGTCAACGAATAAAAATACCTTGTGACAGTGGTTTTATTATGTAAGGCATTATAATGGTCGTAATTATAATTGATAATTATAGTTACTAATGGTTTTATCTTTCCATTGTTATCAGAAACCAATTTTTAAATTATTATTTATAACTTGTCTACTTTACATGGGCAGGTGTTTTACTGATACTCATTCATTTAAAAAGAATTGAGAGTTCAGTGTTGGCAGATATTACAATTTTATCTGTTTTAAGTTTTAGTTATAGAATTATTTGAAATTGTTTTCTCTTTCTTTATATATGCATATGTATATGTATATGTGTGTACATATATATATATATATATATATATATATATATATATATATATATATATATATAAATAAATTATTACTTTATAAAATAGCAGTAGGTTATATGCTTACTCCTTTATTAAGATTATATACTATGTTTAATATTATTTATTTATTCAAATTTTTATCTATTTTATTTCTATAAGTAATAAAATGTTACTTGAAAAGTTTACGTGAATAAGTCGTTATCTGACAACACTGATACATATAAGGACGAATTTACTTCGTATTTAGTAAGAAAAGCGATGATGGCTTCGAAGAAAATAAAAATGTTACAAGCCAAAAAGAATATCAAGCCCGTATGAGTAATGATAAATGGAGATTCGAAACTTTTCGAAAAAAAAAGAAAAAAAGAGAGAAAAAAAATATGAAGAAAAAAAAAAAGAGTTATCAAAAATGATAACATTGAATTAATTGTTATAAGAGCGTAAAAATCACAAGACATTCAGAAGCAAATTCGTTTAGGCTATCGTCGAAAGTATCAAATTACATTTACCTTTGGAATAACAAAAATTTTCAGAACTTCAGAAGTGTAACGGTTAATTATTCACAATCGCATGTCTTAGGATTTTCTCGCTGTTCTAGGATAGTAATAGTAGGTACTAGATTAAGTATTACATGTATGTTTTGTTCGTGTTTCCCCTGGTAAAAATGTTGAGGCTATTAAAAATTTTCACTATATTTTGGTTCAGAGAACTGCGTTAAGTTTTTCTTTCAATTGTGTACTTGTGCGTTGTGTTTTTTGTTTTTTTTTTGTTTTTTTTTTGTTTTTTTTTTTCTAATTTTCACTTACGTATAAAGGAAACTTATATTAAAGGTATAATCTCTAGCATTAACGTGGATGTGACAAAATTCAAAATTGATGTAAACATTTTCTCAAACATTTATTTCACTTACTGAATTTGGTTTTTATAAATGAGAGAAAGCACGTAACGTCAGAGAATAAGAAAGGAGGTAGCGCGAGATAAAAAAATTACTTCGATAAGAGTGAAATTGTATCAAAATTCGTTATCCTTTGGGCGTAAGGTTTAGTTAAGAAATTTTCAAATAATAGATACCGGGATAAGCTTAAAGCTTTGCAGGGATAGTAATGCTAGAATTCATAATTAACGAAATCGTTAACAAAAATAGATTTTGTTAATCTAGCACTGCTCTTCCTCTCCACACCCCCCCCTCTCCCCCTCTACCCCTCTCCCCCTCCCGCTCCCACCCATACGTACACATTTTTCGACATGACTTTTGGCAAAGAAAAAACCCAATTATGTTAGTGAAGTAATTCGCCTTACCTTTTCGATACAAATTTAATAGCTTACGCCAATTTTTGCAGGCTCGATCATTCATAGTACTATATTTTTTACAAAGATGTTCATTGTTTGAGCCGATTGGCGAAGCATGACGTTGCGCGCATTTCTTTCTGTCTAATCTGTGACAAAGATTAAAATGTGATAAATTATTCTTGAATAATAGGTAAAAGGTAAATAATGAAGGAAGGATGAAACTAAGAAAATAGCACAATTGCTGGGCATTATTTACAAGTGCTAGCAAAGCCTAATGTCGTCAGCAGCCTCGTAGTTCCGATAATGAAGATGAAATGATAAATGTCAAAAACAATTTGACATAACTGTTGAGAGCCAATACTTTTTTTACATCGACGTAATAGATGACCATGAATTTATAGATATACATAAATATATTGAGTAAGATGCTTTTAAAGTAAATAGATGGAAACGAAAGCTTTTTAATACATCAAATTTTCTTTGACATTTATTAACATTTCGCTTCAAACTTGGACGATAAAAAAGAAAGAGAAAAGAAGAAGAAAAAGAGAAAAAAAAAATTGTGAATTTACTATACCCCTCCAAAAAGAGACCACTATGAGTCCAAATCAACTTTTGTAGGGACAGGGTTTTGAATTTAAAATAAAATGAAATGTTTACGGAGGAAGGTGCTTATATTTAGCATGGAATGTAAATCCAGCAATTTAAGCGCATTTTGATTCATTCTGTTAGTTTTCAATTGTTTATATATTTAAAGAAAAACGTCAATGAATTTTGGACTTTTTGAACTTGTAGCAAAGAGTACAAGCGTGATGTATTTTATTCATGCAACATACACATATCCGCACACTTACTAACTTATATCCGAATCTGAAGCAAACTAATTTTATGCGTCGTTAGAATTTGGTTTGTTGTGAATAATGCGAGTAACGTCCCAGAGAAATACAACAACAACAACAACAACAACAATAACAAAAAAAAATTGTTTCATTCTGAGATTTAGACGTATGATAGAGAACATCAGCATGGTTACTACCTCAAAGCAACAATATATAAATTTACTGTGACGAAAATATGAGAACTCTGTTTGTTTGTTTTTTTTTTTTTTTAATGTTAAACGATAAAATATAATTATTTACACGCACCAGTTGTGATGCAATTACAACAGTACTTGAACGTGTAAAAAGCGTCGGCTCTTTACTATACCCAATAATGCCTCGAGTCTTCAAGCACTAAAAATTTATTAACAAATATCTTTTATTATTATATTATACACCGATCTTCTTACAATTACGGAGAGCTTTAAAACGAACGGAGTTGTCATAACTTATAATTCTAAAAAATAATCACGTTGCTGTACATCGAGACGTCTTTGCAGCAAAGACAAAATAAAAATAATTTATTGACTATGTATTGGTGACTTATTAAATGATTTATAAAAACCACTGTATGAATCAGTGAGTAAAAAAAAAATTTCTTAATATTGATAAAGTTTTTATTACGAACTATTATCATATTATTATTATGATTATTATCACTGGTATAATAATTATTATTAAAATTATCTTTATTATTGCATAACATTATTATTATTATTATTATTATTATTATTATTATTATTATTATTATTATCATTACTATTACTATTATCATTATTACTATTATTATTATTATTATTATCTTTATTATTATTATTATTATCATTATTATCATTATAATTATTAACATTATTATTGTAATTAAAATTATTATCATTGTCATCATCATCATCATCATCATCATCATCATCATCATCATCATCACCACCATCATTATTATGTAGAAGGCTTCTTACTGACTGAATAAAATGTTTTAATGTCATTATTCTCTTTTATTTCAAACCTTATGCTTGTAATTTGGATTATTTATGTGTAATTGCGGATAAGTTTTCGAAATAAAATTTCTTATTTAATGAAAACTGCAGACAGTGATATCAACAACTATGACTCACCTCACTCCCCATTATAAACTAGCAATAGTTTTTTTTTTGTTTTTGTTTTTTTTTTGTTTTTTTTTTTGCGAATAGAATAAAAAATTCTATCGTATTTATTATTTTGCGATGTAGCTGCCCTCGAGGATAATAATTTGCCAAATGAATATGTAAATATCTCGAAAAATAATTTTGAATTTGAAAAGTTTTATTGTGAATTATAAATAAATTAAGATTTCATTTTAACTGTAGATTATTAAGGACTTGTGTGTTTACATCATTAAATAATTCACTGATTATTTATAGATTTAAAAAGGACATGTATTGATTGGGCTTTACTTTTACCACGATTTATAAGAGTAGAAATTAATTAAGGAGGTGGTAGAATTAAAATTCAGTTTAAAATTCACGATTATAAAAACAAATAAGTCTGATATTATTTTTTAATTGTTTAATGGGCTTTCAATAATGTTTATTAACAATTTAAATGATACTTTTCTTCAATAAGAGTTGTAATTTGAGCATTCATACTTTGCAAAGGGACACTTCAAGCGCAACAGTCCAACATTCATTTGATTAAAAAAAAATTAAATACAATAATACAATAAAATAATGTAGATATTCTCTACAATTTTTGAGAATTGTGGTTTTTTTTAGTTGCTCAGCTCTATGTAAATTTTTGTAAGAATCTGATATTTTCTGTAGAATTTCATTGCTTCGTTGTTTCTAATTATAAATGAAAATAAACAGATGATAATCTGAATTCTCTAGGAATTCGTGAATATACTGGAAGTTGGAAAATAAAAAACAAAATATAATTTTATTTTCAGGCCTACTGGTAGTAATACTTTAATTTGCTAATTAATCGTTAAAACATTTATCTTTATTGAAGTATGAAGATTTTAATTGTTTTGGAAAATAATATCTCTTAGTTCTTATACCAATGTTAAGAGATAAAAATATGAAAATGTATTTGGTTTTATAGTTAACTATTTTTCATTTGCATTCACGTGAAAAATATTTTTTTCTTTCATGACATTATCATTGCATAAAACTTACTACAAAGTTAACTTTATTTTTATTTTTTTTTTTTTTTTTGTTTTTTGCGAATTTTTTATTATCTTTGTTTAATAATTTAGGCTTAAAATTGCAGGTGACATGTAATTTGACGCTATGTCGCATATTATTATTTAATAATAACGTAAAACGAAAAGTTCTAAATGCCCGTCTTTTATTGTTTATAAAATATTTGTTTAAATTTTGCTAAAGAAATGAAAAATAAAATTTGTGTACAAAGTTAAACGTAAACATCATTTATATTTTAATAAATTATTTCGTTTCGTTAAGTTGCATGTAAATTTCTTTTAAGAATACGAGTTTTACATAAACGGTAGACAATTTTGTGCTTTTTTTTTTTTTCACCCTTAAAATGCATTAGTATGGACTTTCATATCCATGTAAATATATTGTATCTTTTACATGGACATTTATTCGGTATTTTTCTTATGTTAATTAATGTTCATAAAAGTACGTTGGAAATTGTTTACTTCGTTCTTTCCAAAAGAAACGAAGAATGCAATTGAGAACTTTATCAATAGCTATTGGGGGCGTACTCGTGGTAAGAATGTGCAATAAATTTTTTTTAATAATACTTGATTGATTACGGCTGTAGTCGTGGTTTATTCGCATCATCAGCCCAATAGAAACTTAATAAGAATTTGCCATTAATTTAGGAAATGTCAATATAAGATGCTTTCGTGGGATAAGCAGATCCCAGGATTATTCGCCATTAATCGTCCAGTTGGTGGAAGAAGCGCCTACAAAAATTTTCATCCAGACATCGATCGTGTCTCCGTTCCGTTCATTCGTCCGCTAAAAAGAAAGAGCGTAAAAAGTCCCCTCGTCTAGGCTCGCGCTTTCCCCGGGCGAAACGCGGCTTTCGCCTTTCTACGCTCGTACACTCCTACGTGTTTTTACTTTTGTCTTCTCGGCGAATTCGAACGAGCGCCGCTAGAAATATCGTTCAATATCGTTCAATATCGTTCAATATCGATGAAATCATCACACGGCCGTTATCTGGCCATTCCCAATCGTGTTATTATGCAAGCCGCTCGACAATCTCTAAGGGTTGCTATGTAATTAATGAATAGGGTGGTCCATGGGTACGATAAGATGGCTCCGAGTCGGCTCGATGCACGAGAAAATCGGGAGTTTGGCGATTAGTAAAATGTCGAGCAAGTGAATGCGGATTATTGGAGCGATGGCATTAAGTTTCGTCTCTCCTCCACTCGTTATGGGATACGCTTTTATGCAATATAGTCTGTCGAGGAGGGATATTTTTTGTTTTCCGTGCGATGCATCGTCCATTCGCCGCGGCCGCTCGTCACTGCAAGGAGGAGGCAGCGTGCGCGCGTTCGAGAGAGAGAGAGAGAGAGAGAGAGAGAGAGAGAGACGAGGATCGCACTCACGTAAATAGGCGCAGAAGAGAGTGTATGGACTATAAAGTCAGGTCGAGTAGAGGTGGGCAAAACTCACGAGCGAAGCGCAAAAGCATTTCATCAACAACGAGGACAGCGGCGACGACGACGACGACGACGACGACGACGACGACGACGACGACGACGGCGACGACAACGACCACGACAGCAACGACAGCAACGATAGCAACGATAACAACGTTAGCAACGACCACGACCACGAACACGAAGACGACGACGACGACGTCGTCGTCGACGTCGACGAAAGTAGCCGCAGTGTGACACGGCGAGCCGTAGTCTTCGAGTTAAGTTTGCGCATCGACGAAGGTACGCCAGTGCATTTTTATAAATTGACTGTTGACTTTGCGTTATTATCGGCGGCAGGTTGTTTCAATCGCTCATCTCAATGCGTGCGCTTAGTATTTTTTGCACGAGGGCGTGGGCGCATATTGCGAAGAGGATAGAGAGAGTAAAGAGAAAGAGGGAGATTTCTTTTAAGTGTTATTTTCGGATTGTTACGATGATTCTGAAAAATTCTCCGTTCAGCCCAACTCCCTTTTGCCTCTACTGTTTATCACCCCTCTCTCTCTCTCTCTCTCTCTCTCTCTCTCTCTCTCTCTCTCTCTCTACACATACGCGCGCGCTTATCTCGTTCTTTTTCGCTCGTTCTCCTTCATTTACTCTCTGCTTTTCCTCTTCGACCGTCTCGCGTCGTTTAAAAGGAGTACGATCAACTTGGATGGGGCACGTCCCATTTGTTTCGTGATAGCTACGAGCTTGCACCCTTTTTTTTGTTTTTGTTTTTTTTTTTATATATTATCCTTTGTGACGACGATGCAGAGCTTGGCAGATTTTTTTAGCGACATACCGCTGGTAAACAGCAATAAAATTCGGCTACTCGTGCCACTATAACACAATTGCTCGGAACGTTCGTTCTTTCGTCATAACGCCATTAACGTCGTAAAGTGATAAAAGAAAAATTAATCATTGGAAAATGACCTGAAAGTATATATCGATGTGGTTATACATGTGATTTGAATGTAGAGGAGGCCGTCGTAATATGCTTGGCCGTTTACGGTCTTTTCTATTTTCTTCCCAGTCTCGTATCGCCGTCTATCTCTCTCTCTCTCTCTCTCTCTCTCTCTCTCTCTCTCGGGACACTAGTGTTTTATTGCACTGTCTCCAAGTATTCCCCTCTCGCTTATTAGATAGTACTTGGGACAAACCTTTTTTACCCCTACTACTTACCTAGGCGGCTGCTCGGACAGTGCGTTTTTCCATTTATTCTCCCGGCGTTTGCATGCGTGCGTGCGCGCGCGCGCGCACGCGTATGCTCCGCCACCGAGTTTCGCGGCTTGCGTAGTTTGATTTGGCACAGTGCCGTACCTTTATACCGTAGCGCCCCCAAAAATATACGTTTGTTTTCTTTTGCCTTCGCATTTTTATTATCCTCACCTCGTAATCATCTATCCGCTCTTTTTCTCACTCAACCCTTATTTATGTAATAATAATTATTGCGACACTATCGGCCAATTTAACGTACAGTTTTATCATTTTCTAGTGCATGTTGTTGTTTCGGTACGCAATTTGATCGAAAGAAAATTTCAGAATTTATCAACTGCGATGGAGATAAATGTTATACGATGTTGCATTGAAATTGTCAGTCGCTTTCGTTTAATATTCCACTAACAAGCTTAATCGTTATAAATTTTTAAAGAACAAATGAATAATCATGTATTATAAGCACGTCTAATATTGTGATGCGAGGCTAAAAGAAATAGTTGAAACGGTAATCAAAATCATGGTTTGGCGAGTTAATGCATCTTAGCATTAAAAATTTTGTCTAAATAAAAAATTTAAACACAGTATTATGTTTTATTTTTACGAATTCATTAAGTCTTAATCGTTAATTAAAGCTTGAGTAAACATTTTCAATAGAAATCTGTCGGTAAAAAAATAGCATTTTATTATAACGTAGTCACACGAAATAAAAATGTAGTTTTCTAGAACAGAAATTGTAATTAATAACTAATATATAATAATAAAATTCAGTTAATTTCAAATTTAATTTTTATTTTCATCATCTAACATAATTGGCAAAATTACGTTGAATATTTTTGTGTTGTATGGAATTATTGTGTTTAAGTTTTAAAATATAAAAAACTTAAGTTAATAATTTAACAAGACTTTTTCACTTGTGTCTCGTCTAATAACAAACGCAAATAAGAACAATAAACGATAATCGAATAATTCTATTAAATTTGATTAAATTAATTTTAAATAATGCATTCATTGCATTATAATTTTTTGTTTTTTTTTTTTTTTTTATTTTACTCCTTTGAAATTAATTAATTTATTTCTATGAAATTACAAAAATACGACAATCTTATAATACAATCAATTTAATAAATAACGAAACATATAGGCTAAATCAGATCAATATCTTAACATTTTTATAATTTAAGAAAGTTTAGTGTTTCTGATCAAAAATTCTAGAATAATTAAAAAATCAAAAATATATCTCCTCAGACTAAAAATAAACATAAAGTTGTAATTAGATCTCAATATTATTAACGTAGGCGAAAAAAAAAAACAATTTTTACTGTAAATGTTAATGCATTAACTAAGAAAATTAAAAACATTAAATTGGAAAAAATAATAATTTTTAAAATGTAATTAATAATATAGTTTTTTTTTTTTTTTCGTACTTTTTTTATATAATCTATCTCTCCTTATTTGATCAATTGTAATAAAAACTTAACTGTCAGCAGTTATTTTATATTTAAAACAAAAATTATAAGATTTCATAAATGTGAAATAATATATTGTATCTATTACTTCATATATTACATTCATTAAATGACTGATAGAACAGGTAAGAAATAATGAAAATGCTCGAATGAATTTATCAGTGTAATAGTTGTAATTGATTATCATCTATATGTTGTTTGGTGGTTACATTTACTCAATAATTACTATATCATTTACCTTTGAGGCGAATGGTTGTATATCGATAAAGGATGTCATTTATAAAAATATAACTCTTAGCATAGAATTTGTAAATAAACTTCCGATTATTTGAATTCTAAATATAAAACGATCGCTAAAAGATAATTCTTTATACGAACAAAAAGTATTAAACAATCTTGAATTAAATTAATCTGTAATTATCTTAATTCACTTGTTTGCCACAAAACCTCATAATAATCATTGTTTACATTAAAAATTCACATTTTTGTAACTGTTCAAATGCAAATATTTCTTTACTGCACGGTTATGTTAGCGACTTTCGCTAGAAATGAATCTCCCGGCAGACGTTTTGGGATTAAAGCATTAATTTTATGTAGATAAATGAAGGTTAATGATAATGAAATAATTAATTAAATATCTGGTCTTGTAATTGTCATACAAAATTGTGCGAATTCTTGACATACAAACTATTTACGCTACACTGTTAATGGTGTAATATAAGGAAATGGGTTTTGTAAGGGTAGAAGATTGTCAAAGTGTATTTAATCTCGTATGCACAATCTCAAATAGAAATTGTGCAGTGAATTTTAAAGACTATGCTTCGAAAAGTTAGGAAAATTAATTTGGATGAAATTGACAAGGAAGTTGTTTACATATTACAATTGCAGGCTCTTTATTATTATTTTCCTTAACTTGAAACGAATATTAAGAATCGTCATTAATCATTTTTTCTTTGCGCGCGCGCGTACACACGCGCTCACACACCATATTTATAAAACAGATGCGAATTGTCAAGATTATATGGCAATGCAATGGCGGCAAATTTATGTAAAATAATGATTTGTATTACGCAACGAATTGAACGTTGTTAAGGAACTTTTGAAATGTTTCTTTGCTTTAAAAAATTTTCATTTAATAATTCAAGAAAATGTTATATACATTGTTATTAATTAACTATAACGTTTATGGATGCAAATATTAGATTTGGAAATTGTGTAAATGAAATGAAGGGGGATATTATTTTCTATGTTACAATTATCATTATCGAAATTTTTATTATTCTAATGTATTATTAAGTCAAACTGTTAATTTCAGCTATGAATGCCGAATGTAGCAAAATAACTTACGCTTAATTTGCATTGATTAAACCACAGATACACGTATACTAAATTATAATTGATGACAAGAGCTATGATGAAATATGCAAAAATAAAAAGACTCTTGTTTATAATATTCTATAGAAGAGAAATAAAGAACATGCAAATGTGCAGGATAGATACGGCCAAGTTAATTATGAAAAAAAAAAAAACAGTAAATTCAGCCTAAATTATCAATTAAACTAAACATAAAAGTTCGATTTTAATCGCATTATTTTATTTCTTGCTCATACTTATTTCAATTTATTCATCGAGGCTTATTAAAATTTGTTATCCATTGCTTCATATTTTCCATATAAAATGTACAAAACTCGATGATATAGAATACGAGACGTCAAAAATATTCTGTAGTTTTCGCGTCGAAACTCCTCATGATTTGACCGAATCTTTTGCTTAACTGTGCCAGGCACTTCAAAAAGCCATCCCGAATAAATGAGAACTTTTTCAAACTATTTTTGCTCATTAGTATGTAAAATTAGCCCACGTAAAATACAACTTTGCTCATATATATAACTATCCTATTGTCTATTAAATTGAATTAATTATTAATTTAATGGAACAAAATCTACATTGGCATTTAATTAGTATAATGTTTAACAATTGTATTAATAATTTTTCAATTATATACTTTAATTATTATATTACGATTTTATATTCCCTTTTAAACAGCTATTATATCAAATTTATCATAATATAAACAAGATAAAGTACACTTCATTTAAATGGTTCGTTAAGCAATACTTTATTAAGTTTCTAAAAAGTTCTTATACATCGCTTGCTTATCGCGACTATCTTTCTTTCTTACTAAATATAGGCATCGTACAGCTTTGTTTTTTTGTTTGTTTTATTTGTTTTGTTTTGTTTTGTTTTTTATTTGTTTTTTTTTTTTGTTTTTGTTTTTTGTTTTTTTTTCTATTTTTTCTTCTCAATATTAACTATTAAAGGAAAACAAATTTATAAATGTTTTCCTGATTTATAAATATATATAATTATTCTATAGAATTAGAGATGTTAGATGTTACTATAATGATTTTAACGCTCTCTTTTTAATATCGATTACTACCAAAAGATCATTACCACAAAATCTTTTGTTATGTTTGTAAGAGTTTAATATGTTTATATAAGCATTTGCAAATTATTAACACACGTACGATTTACGTAAAAATTATTTAAATTTTAACTATGTTGATTGGCCTCTAA